TTTTGGTATTACCTTTAGAATGTTATTAAAAATCACATTATTCATTACCAGACACTTAACATCGTGGTAACCCCTTGCCAGACACCCTTAATGTTCAGGGTATAATAATTCTACTTACGTTATAGTATAAAAGCTGATTTTTATACAGGATACTTGGGTAATGAGTAGATGATATTTTCTCAATAGCCAGACATTTTTGATAGTTCCAACCCCTTGCCAGACAAGTATGTAGGGTCGCTGTAGAAACGAGCGCGAGGTAGTATATATATGTGAGTGCGAGTGAGATGGCGAGTTAGGTCTATTGCGATCCCTGAGCGCGCAGCTGATATTTCCACAGCGCATGTATTGTTTAGTGCTCAGTATATGTTTACATCAACAAAAATAATGTAGGACCCCCGCCGGGTGCCACCCTCCTCATAGGAGGTGGGAGGGTCAGGGTGAGTCCCACCATGAAATATCTGGGGCTCACTCTTGACGGAGGGTGGACCTTCGTGCCTCATTTCAAGGAACTGGGGCCGAAGGTCGTGAGGACGGCAGGTGCGCTGGGAAAATTCCTCCCGAACCTCGGAGGACCCAGCGCAGCTTGCAGGCGGCTATACTCTGGGGTCTGTCGGAGTATAGCCCTGTACGGTGCTCCCGTTTGGGCTGATCGCCCAATGAGCCGCAGGACCAAGGCCCTGCTGCGCTCTGCGGAAAGGGCTCCTGCGGTGAGGGTGATTAATTTTTAAAATTTACATCAGTTATTTGTCACATAAATTGGCCAAAAAGTTTATTTGGATAAGTCATTCTAATCATGAATCTCTTTTTAACATTTACATTGATTGTCCGGCAGAGAGATTGAAAACAGAAAAAAATATCTGGCTAAGGAGGAAACATCATCTAATAACTACCTAAGTATTATATAAAAATGAGCGATTTAATTATAAAGTAAGTAATGCTATTATTGATATTTTTCTTATAATTAAAAATGAATATTAAATTTATCTTTAAAAATAGCATATATTAATTTTACTGACATACGCATGTACAAAGTAGTAAACAATACAAGCGCATCTCACTCACACTCATATATATATACTACCTCGCGCTCGTTTCTACAGCGACCCTACATACTTGTCTGGCAAGGGGTTGGAACTATCAAAAATGTCTGGCTATTGAGAAAATATCATCTACTCATTACCCAAGTATCCTGTATAAAAATCAGCTTTTATACTATAACGTAAGTAGAATTATTATACCCTGAACATTAAGGGTGTCTGGCAAGGGGTTACCACGATGTTAAGTGTCTGGTAATGAATAATGTGATTTTTAATAACATTCTAAAGGTAATACCAAAAAATCGCTCTGTATAATTTGACGAAACTATATTAGTATTTTACACACCTTTAGTACCGTTTACCTGCCAAAGCCACTACAACCCGAATTTCATAATGGACCTTCGTTCTTACCTGTGTTGGGAGCATGCGCTGACAAACTTTCAGCTTTTATAAAATAACGAAGGTCTGGGGTTCACGGGCTCTTAGACTATTGCGAACGATACTTAAACATATAAGTAAGTATATTGTAATGTCACATTGTATAACTTTATAACCATTTAATATTGCAATATTTTCATTGTTTTCTCTTCATTTTAAACGAATGGATACATAACAATTAACAATATGTGATATTTTTTAACGTGATGATGTTATACATAAAGTATACAAAATGTATGTAAACTTAGAGCCAGAACATTTGGATACTAAGTATTATTATTTACAAAAAATTCATTAATTGTATTAATGTAATGAACTATTGCTATAATAATATTATAACTATGTGAGACAGAGACCGTATATTCATTAATAACTTTAGTTGTTTCTACTGTAAATTTTAGTGAATGTTAAACTATTTAATCAATTGTTCTAGCTTGGTGTTGGTTGCACAAAACGTTAAAATGCCACAATGGAATGAAATACATATAACTAAGACAAATAAAAAAAATATTTTTTACTTATTAGTATTGCATAATTGTAAGAAAATGCCTATAATTATTATCTATTAAATTCTGCTCTTGGTCTAGAAGCAAGCCTCAAAGTAATCTTATAGCCTATTTATTGTTTTTAAATGCTCCATAAAGATTTATAAACAGTTTTACTTAAGATATGTAACATTGTTAGCTTAAATTAACCTTGGCCATTGCAAATACCAGGCAAATTAATAAATGCCCAACCAGCTGATCTGTCTTTTGTGTCTCGCGAAAACTTCTTGGTATATTTTACAAAGTGTTTACAATCAAAATTCTTATATTACATGTCTTAACACACATAAACAAAATTAATTTAAGCTACAGTCAATGTTAATAACATTAATTACCTATCTGTCAGGCATATACTTAAACCGATGTATCCTCACCTAATATACGTACATATGTGGAATTAAAGAGTTCTACATTTGATCATTTAATTTAAAAAAAGTTCAACGTAAATTTAGTTACGGAACAGTATCCTAAAGAAAAGACATTTCTGTAAATTTATTATTATTTTTTATCAAGCATTTTATGGACAAGGTAACCATCGGTCTGACCTAGAAGTTAACCTTTTTCTACGTTATCTGATTGTTTATGGTGCTTTAGAAAATAAAACTAAACTCAGTCCTAACTGTAAAATTCGAGAGTCTAGGAGTTTTAATTATCTTCTTGGTCAAATATAAAGTGCTGCCTTAATATCTTCAACACTATTTACAAAGTCCCCCTTTTATACATCAAACATTGTGTTGATGATTGAATTATCCAGTAAAGAATCCAAATCTGTAGGATCCAAATGTCTTTTGTGGGTTTTTTAAATGACCTCTCCAAAACTCATCGCTCGCATGCCCAAAGAGGTGACTAGTTTTTGCAAACCCATTAAAGTGTTAATATGCTGCATCTATATACCTTATTACAGAAAATTAAGAAATACAAATGGAGTATTCAAACTCGCACCAAATACTCATCCTATCTATGTAAAGATAGCGTACTGAACGGAAAAAAAATGTATGTAGGTGAAGTTTAGAAGCCATCGTGACAAAACGATTTTATACGATATCCAGGAAACTTTTGTCCTTTGTTTTTGTATGTTTATTTGTAAAACTTACGATTTAACGTTAATTTAATGAACTGATTTAATAAAATTATTTATCCATTCTTTAAAATCACTTTCTTCTCTATAAAAGAAAATAAATTAATCTCATTTTAAACTTAATAACAATAGAAAAAGCTATTGAGAAACCGGTTCGAGATTTCACAAGCAACATCTGTTTTTTTATTGAATACTAGATTTTATTCCTTCATAGATATTAAATTTTAATTTTAAATTTTAATTCCTATAAAGACTTGTAAACAGTTACAGTTATCCTGTCTTAGAAAATAAAATTTTCCTTTTAATTTCTTTTAATATTTTTTTTTTGTTTTTAACCAAACAATTATAATTATGGAAGAAGATCTTTTACAAAAAATATTAAATAATTTGAGAAATAGCTTGCTAGTTAGTTTTTTGAATCGGTTATGGGTCTCACAGTGATTAAGATTTGTTTATCCACATTTTATAGTACATATCTAATAAATAAATATCCATGTAGAATATATGATAAGTATATACTTTTAATAAGTTGGTATAACTTCAAAAAAAAGTTTAGACTAAAGTGAATTTTATTTATTTTATGTCAAAACGGAAACTAAGATTGAATTCTAATTAACCAAAATGTTGCTAAATAGGCATCAAAGTCTTTTATCCGAGAATGGATCATTACATACAATTCTTTCAATGCCCTCACCTTACTAAAATTAAATCTAATCGAGTGTACCTAAACAAATATATATAAAGGTTTATTATTTTTATAATTAAAAGGATCCATTGACACTAACTGAAGTCATTTTTTTATTATTAAGGAAAAATACTTGAACTATTTTGTCTAAGAAAACGTAATTAGGAAAACGGTATTATTATTGGCATATAAGGCCAAAGCTATGCAATAAATAAATAACCACGCTACCGCGTTCATGTAAATTATTAGTATATCCTAATAGATATTAAAACATTATTCTTTCATTATATAGCAAAAAATTGAAGTTAAATACGTTCGAGATAATAATAATTATGTCAAAATGACATAATTTAAATACATTTTCATCTTGTTTGAACTAGTCAAAAACTTTGAAGAAAACTATGGAAAAAATATGTTCGTACTCTATAATTATTTCGTTCGTTTTTCTTCAATTATTGTATTTCAGTATCCCATAAAGAAAATACCCTATGTTACTGAAAACTAGATATAATGAAAATCAAATCAATCTGTAATAATAAGCTACTCATAAGGGAAGTATAATCAATTCGCATTGTGTTTTATACATGTAACATGGACCTACAATCAAATTGATTCCCATGTCGTCGACATATACAGCCAAAGTAATAATAGTTTTAAAAAAATAATAAATACTGTTTTAGTTGATAATTGATATTTATATGTTTGTTAGCTTATTTTGTTTGTTTTAGTTAGTAATTGATATTTTATCTTAGTTTTATTTTTTTATTAATATGTTATTTTATTGTAATATTCTTTAAATGTCTTGTGTAATTTTTACCTTACCCTTAGTTCTTTTGTTATAATGTAAGCAATAATGTAAATACCTGTAATGGTGTATCACACCGAACAAGTTTATTTTTTTTTTATATTTTTTTTTTTCAACATATAGTTTGTGAATATGCCGATGGTATTTCAGAAATAAATAAATAAATAAATAAATGTAATATAAAACTATTGCTTTTTATTTGACATATTGGTTTTAATTTGACAAGTTTCTACTTATGTCAAATGTTAAACTGACATTTGACATGTATCAATAACATTTATATTACCTAATGTACGTAAATACTAAATATATTATTCTTGTACACATTAAGTGCACATAAATAAAATGCTCAATATTTAAAATGTGATAGTGATACATTAATGTAATAAGTACGAAATACCTAACCTTAAAAATGGCTTCAAAGTTACCTAAGACTACTTTAAATTTGAAACAGGTAAACGAGGCAGGATAAAGAAAATATGAACTTATGGGACGTAAATAATATAAAACCTCCTTTTCAGTTTCTCATGCGTCAAGAAGTTTTAAAATTATATCGCGATATTTTCAAAACATTAAGAAAAGTTCCAGACGAAAAAACGCGTTTGGAGCTTCGTGACTGGGCGAGGATCGACTTCAGAAACAATAAGCATCATACAGATGAAACTGTTATAAAATCTATGTTGCACTATGGAAAAAAATCATTAAAAGACTTGCAAAGAACATTGGCTCTTAGTGAAAGTTAATAGTTTTTACTTTAAATATTTGTATTTATTGATATTATACACTCAATTGTATTTTAGTATGTATTTTATCCTTTATTCATAGTTAAATAAAAATGTTAAAAAAATTCAACATGTCTTAAAAATTCATTTATTAAAAAACCCTACATCTTACAATTTACATATTTTATATACAGTCATCTAGTCTATATTATATAAAATGTATGAAATATTCTACAAAATGTAGAAGCTAGTTTGTTAAGCACATCATGATACTACATAAATAATACTTATAATATTAAAATCAATAGCCGTCAATATAAATGGCTCGGTAGAAGAGGTAAATGAGAATGGGCACTGTGATTCCTGTGCCGACGACAACAGTGAACACAGTGAAAAATGTAATAAAATCACCATTCTTGTTTAAATACACAGCCAACCATTGAATAATACTTCTTGCAATATGGTGTCCATCAGTCCCATAGCATGGTAGAACATTAATAAAACCAATACCCATAGAGAATATGAATATATATCTTAATAATTTCTCAAATTGAGACGGTGAAAAGAATGAAAATATAGAGCTCCTCGGAAAGTATTGATCTACGAAGACGCTCGAGTGTATGTCATATGGTAGCCCTAAATATAACACTGCATTATTATCTTTCCTCTCGATTATAATGAGATATGTTTGATTGTTCAGTGATGGCTTCAAACAGTGCATGTTCCGAGGGCAGGTATATCCATTTGGTTCTGTACATTTCAATAGTTTACCTTTAATCATATCTCTTGGTTTTAAACAGGAGTATTGACCAGGTAAAGCCGAGTCCACAATAGTTTTGGGCTCCATATACTCAAAGCAAAAACCATACAAATCATCTTTCCTGCAACACTCAACAACATCATTCTCTTTAATCGTCTCCATCATAATTTCATCATTTTGTGCAATGTATTCGGCACTTGTGCAAATTCCGAAGCGATCATGTGCCACTCGTAGGCAATATGACCAATCGTTATAATTTTTAACAGTGCAATCATTAATTGATAATATGACATCATTATCTTCTAGGCCTCTTGCACCTTGTAAGGGAGAATCATGACTGAAACTGGTAACTCTAACTCCAACATCAGTTTGATATACTAAACTAAATAGCACAGGAGCGGAGAAAAATAGAAGCAATGCTAAAAACGCTAGGGCAATATTATGCCACACTCCTGCACAGTATATTTTCAATTTCTTGGCTATGGTCAAGCTATTCAAATGTTCTGTATTTAGCTGCACAAAAGCTATAGGTATAATCGTAAATACATATACACTGATTGCTATTAATTGGACGTCTTCCTGCGCCGCTGCAGCAGCATGGCCGATTTCATGGAACATTGAACAGAATCCGATAGCTAAAAAGTAAACCCAGAAGTCCGATGCAGGTATATTTACACCGGGCAGTACAGCCTTTACTTCAGGAACACTGTTTATTTGTATTGTCTCATAGAAGTGCTCGAAAATAAACGAAAGTAGTGTCCATAGAGCGAATGGAAGGAATATTCCAATTGTAAAAATGTAACCAAATGCAAACCATTTCTTCAAAATTTTGTTTAAATTTTTACTCCATCTGTAAATAAATCTGTTACAAGCTGTGGTTGTCCATGAAAAGTTGAAAATACCAACTTTTAGACCTGTTCCATCCAAAAATGCGTAGTAGGGGTAGTGCATACAACTCTGAAAGGGGAAAATACAATGCTATTGACATATATTTCATACTTATGATAGCAGGAACTTAAAAGTTTAGTCGGTTTGTAAACATATAGAGGACATAACTAACTCTTACCTTAAAGAATGAATCAAAAAACCAGATAACAACATAAAACGTTAAAACAAAAGTGCAGAGAATAGTAAACGACATTTTTTTGCATATGCCTTAATTATTTTATTCCAAAAATCATTTTGTAATAGTGCAAAACCGGCATAAAATCAATATGTAGAAAGCTGCAGAAATGACTTGGATTATTTTGATTCGTATTGCCTATACAATAAAAGCTAGTATTTGACGCATCGTGAAGTAAGTAGTAAGTACGCTGTCAGTAAAAAGCTATTTGTCAACAAAAAATTTGACACATGTATCGATTGTAGTCAGTATCTCTTTTAAATTCTTTAACACCAAATAAGATGACTCATTCATTCTATTTCTACATCAAACAGGAATAATAATTTTTCACGTAGATAAAATTTAGAATTGAATTTTAAAGAAAAATTTTCCCTTTATCTTATATTGACTGTTTAAATGTAATCTTAGCTTTATTGATAGTTACTTTAAAAAAAACGAAACATCAATGTCACGTTGGCATACTTCATATAATTGTTATTTATATTGATAAATCTTCACTTCCTTATAATTTTCAATTTCTTAATTAAAATACACACTAAACGTATAAAAGTGTAGGCTCTAATTTCGTGACATAAATGTCGTGACAGTTTATCATGTGAGTGATGAGTTGTACACAAAATGAAGGTGGACCTTTTGTCGTTTTCTTCCTACCAGCAATTGTTGGCGGCCTGACTATACTTTTGCTTCGACGGTGGGTTAACGCTCCGACTACTAATCCACCTTTTAGAGTTTCCAGACGTCGCAAATTTTACAAAGATCCGAGTTATAAACGTTCCTTACAACAGATAACTTGCAAAATGGTTGCAGCTGGCTCAAAAAAAGCCTCTGGTTCTGCAAAGAAGGTACACTCACAACTGAGTTTAACGTGTTTTTCGTCCAAAATACTCAAACAAATAAACATAAAAGTACCTATATTTACAGGCAACAATAAATCAAATATCTGATGAAGATGTTTCAAATGGCAAACGTATTCGACCGCGCCACTCGCCTACCATGTCGACGATACCGGATACTAAATGCTCAGATAGTCCACCTCCTCCTAAACACATACCATTCCCATACATCCCGAGAGACGGTGAAATATTATATGAAGTCATGACATTCACATTTACTCTTGTAGCTATGGGACTACAGTTCTTAAATTTATACAGAACCATGTGGTGGCTACCACACTCTTATACAACCCAAGCTATGGTAATAATATATACCTATTAATATTATAAATGCGAAAGTAACTGTCTGTCTGTCTGTTACGCTTTCATGCCTAAACCACTGAACTGATTTTAATGAATTTTGGTACAGACATAGAGTTGACCTTGAGAAAGAACATATGATAGTTTTTATCACAGACTTGAAAGGTTCTCTTGGAATTGCGATATAACCGAACTCCACTTGGGCAAAGCTGTGGGCACAAAGCTAGTTAGAACTAAATTAAAATAAGAACTTAGTATTTAATGAGATTTAAGATTTTTACGAGTTTTCTTCATTGAAAGGAAACTAATATTTTTCGGATTCTACTATGAAGGAGTGTGTAGTTTTTTTACAATTATAAAGTTGTGTAGTATAATCCAAAAAATATTAGTTTCATTTTAACTTAGTATTGTTATAAATAATGAGTTTTACATACAGTTAAGTACTATATAATTAAATAAGCACATATAATATTACTCATATGTCTTATAACATTTATTCCAGAACTTCTACCTGATTGATCAGCATTTAGTGGCATTTATAGTGACAATATTATCCCGGAGATTGCTCCTAAGCTTGACCATTATGTTGTTGAAGTGTATACTCACACCAAAAATGCTGCCACACGCTGTGAAAGCAACCAGGTATTTATTAACTACATGTACTAAGTCAAAGTACCAATGTAATTTTTCTGAGTCATATGTACTTTCTAAGAGTATTTAGACATCATATTAATGCATTCCCAAAGAGGGTTGATGTCAGGCAGGCAGCTGGTCGTAAAAACAAATAGCCAAAACTATTCACAACATGTAAGGCAGACTCTGGCTAAATCTGAGAAATTGCCAGGCAGAAGAAGATGTATTCTAATTGACAAAAATTAATTGATTTTGACAACTTTTTTTATGACTTATATTTTTATGCCTCAAAATTCTTGTAAAATACTACATGATTATGTATACCAAATATTTATCATTCCTTATAAATATTTGATCTGAATGTACTTATAGTCTATTATTATTGGAAATATAATTTTCATATTAATTATTATATGTTTCTTTTGAAGTGTTTGTTAATATATGTTGTTTTTTCTTATGTATAGGTTGTTTATCCTGGGTGTACTTCTTGGTTCATTGCTGTGGTGCAGTTACTATATAATACTCAAACATCCCATTGTGAAGATGTTTTATTTATGTTATCCGTAAGTAACTTGGAGCACAATCTTTTAATATATTTAATATATTCAAGTTTTAAAACTAAATTAATATCAATAATATACAGGGTGACTGGTGAATTACTATCAATATTTAAGGAGCATACTCGGTACATGATTCTCATTCGAATTATGTAAAAAAAATAGGTACTTAATTTTTGACCAAATTTCCGTATAAATAAATAAAGTATTGACACGTTCCAAGTGTTCCAAGTGTGGACGCGCGCGGCGGCGTGCTGATACAACAACACGCCGCCGCGCGCGTATGTGTGTGTGTATGTATACCTAATCTGTAGGGTGTTCATACGATGCGTAATTAATTACATAACTTTTGGTTAACTTTACTTAGAAGTTTATTAATATTTATGTTATATTAATTTTTATTTTGTCATATATGATCGTCAAATATCACGTCCTCAAATATCGATAGTAATTCACCAGTCACCCTGTATAGTCTATGAATTTGATAATTCTAAAATGCTTTCATATATCATATCCCATGAAATTAAGTACTGTTGTGTATTAGTTATACTTGCATGGTATTGTTAAATAATAATATGATGTTAAGTTAAATGTAAACAGATCACTTTATTATGTTATATTCTGTTAGTCAGTCTAACTACTTAGCACAATACAGTTTAGCAGTTTAATTTGCTACAACAGTTCTTGAGGTTTTATATATATAACATATATAATTGTGGTTGATAAAGTAATTCACTTATTTATTCTATTCATATTGCTTTGTGAATGTTACCACAATATTGTTTTTAATTGCAGGGCAGTGATATACTTCATTTTGTTTGGTATGAATGCCGAGCCGTTCCTTGAATTACACAACACAGATGCACCTCTCATGCACAGCTGTAGTCATGAACCGGAGCAAATAAGGATAGAGGTTGAGGTTTTAAGGCAGGATTTCAATATGAGAGTAAAAAAAATACTATTTAATTCCATTGCCGGAGCATACTACACTAGTTTTGTGCCATGCTGTTTTGCACAGGTAAATTCTAATTTATTTTTTTTGGTTTTTATTTTTAATATAACAACTTTTTTGTTTGTACCTATTTGGAGACGATAAATTTGAAAAGAGTGTAATAGGTTCATTAGGTGTCGTGTTTTTGAATTTTTCGATAAAATCGTCTCACCTTTGACTGTCAAATTGCCAAAAAATAATAATTATACATCTAATGATTCATTAATAAACCATTCAACAACTTGATTATTCATCTTTTCTTCACACAGTACTCAAGATTATAATTCTTGCAATAAATAAAAACGTTGACATTGCCAAAATATTAAACGATTCCAGTGTGAATAAAGCCATAGCATACAAAATATCTTGATTAGAACAGACATGTGCAATGCTGAATTACAACATTTTTAAAATAACTATGAATACACTAAAACTAGTTGCTACTTATATTTATACTACCTTAGTTTGCACATAAACTTAAGTTTTATCATACATTTGTCAATTATAATTCTTTTTTATTTCTATCAATATTGCTATCAGCAATAGGGTAATTTTTCCATACTTTTCTAATTTTGTATGTGATAAGATTATATATACTTTTGTGTATATAATTATGATTTATGACTCTTTTTCCAGACATACTTACACTATGACGTTGCATCAGCGGCTCAACAAGTCGGTCTTGTGTGGGGAGCCTTATGTGGTCGCTACACCTCACAGTTGTTACCCGCTTCATTAACGGACGCACCTCATAGGGCGTCTGCACACCTTGGAAAATGGATCTCAGTTGGTTAGTAGATTAGTTTGTGTTTTTAATGATAATATTATTATTAATGATAATAGGATTAAAATGAGCAAATAGATTTGGAATCGTAATACTTGAAATCGACGCTAAAATTAATGTGGGAAAGTAGTATTAAATTGTCTGTTACTTTAATTATTTTTCAAATAAATTGAGTTTTGGGAACTATAGTTTAGTATACTCAGTCAAAGTGGAAATAATCTATGATTTTGTTTGTACTGATTCTTTATAAATTTTTCTTTTTATTTTAATAATTTATTATTATTTATCATTATTTTGCGTAATAAATAAGTATAATGTATAATATGATCATAAAATTGTTACTTATCGAGAAATTCTAGGTAATTACTACAAACTACTTATGACAATATCTTAGGTATGAGTTTTGCAACAAACCAATCACAAATTTTTCGGTTTTTCATACGTATACTTACAATGACACTATTATTTGCTAGTATTTATGAAGAAAAAACATGAAATTGTTTATTTAATGTGACGATACAATTTTATGATGATGGTGTAGCGGTATATTATAAGTTATGTCACACAAACGATAGATGGCGCTGTAAGTAAATGTTAACCTGTTTAAGTGAACATTATGAGTTACTAAAACTATTATACAAGTATTCACGAAGTAAACAATATGAATTTTATTATTAAATCTTGATTTTTAATACGGTTTTAGAAATATACATAATGTAAAAGTAAAGGAAAAAGATATCATGTAATGTATGACTAGGTATACTCTTATACACTTAAATTGAAATTTACAATGAATGCCGTTTGATTGTGTTCACGAGTGTATTGTTGAAATAAAATGTTCGCACATGGTCATAAATTGTTGACTCAAAATGTTCACAAATTGTTGTCATAAAATGTTCACAAATGCTCATCAATTGTTGACTCAAAATGTTCACAAATTATCATAAATTTGTGCTTGATTATTATTTTAAATGTTCTTTCTATTTTTAGCTATTCCCCGCGACGTTGAACCTCCGGAGTGGTGTGATGATCGTCCTTGGTGCGCGGGAGCTCGCGTTTCGTGGTGCGGAGGCGTGTGGCTTGCAGCCGCGCCTGTTGTATGCGCTATACCAGGAGAACCGAAACATACTAGGTTTTATGTACGTTGATGATTTATTGTTTATGGTGTGCTAGATTGTCTATTTATATTGGCAATTTCCCAGCTTTATCCAGGGTCTGCCTTACATGTTGTGAATAGTTTTGGCTAATTTACGATCGGCCGCCTGCCTGATATCAACCCTCTTTGGGATTTAATCTTTGTCTATGCTCTATCATTATCTTTCGAAAAGTTCCTTGTTGTTTTCCCAACTATAGAAAATTGATCGTAATTAAATTTGTAAAAGAATAAAATAAATTAACATCGAGATAAGAAAGATAGTCATATATCAGAAGTCTTATGACGCAAAGTAATCGGAACCAAAAAAAAGTCTATTCCAATAGAAATATCACAGTTTTATTCACCTTGAAATAGTAAAAACACAATAAAGCTTATATATTTTTTTTTGTGGTAGGAACTTTGAATATCTTAGAGTATGTGATAGTAAAATAATCATTTTTTTTTTCAGTCTGTGTTCAACAATCCTTCAAAACTGCTGTGTCTATTGCTCTGTCTACAGTTGTCTCTGGTCGCAATGCAGTTTTTCCTTCTGTTCAGTTTAATAGCGTGGCACAACTTTCTATCAATAATCATATTATTGTTTATAAACTACTACACATTGTTCAAAATGCTTCGCGACTATTTAGTTGCTTGGAAAGTTTATAAAGCTGAAAATATGATACAAGACAGAAATGTACAGATACCGGGAAATTGAAGTTGAGTATAAGATATATCTTAAAAGATAGCGTTTAACGGTTTTATTTAATATTTAATATGTGACACTAGTAGTTGACTTATACTACTCTACTTTGAGTTGAAATTATCTATGGTGACATATATTGGTGTTACCAGAAATAAAATTGATTTAATTACATACTATAGACCAGACGCGATTAGCGGAAATGTATGTAAATGTCAAAAATATTTTACTTAAAAGAATCAACAACTTTTTTTATTACAACCTACTAAAGTCTGTAGTCTAAAGCTCAAAGAATGTATTAAATATACCTATTATTATATATTAAAATGAATCTAGTCGAACTTATCTCGCATATTAAAATTATCGAAAAATTTGTAACAAAATTTTTGAATTTTTTCATAATATTGTCTGTTGTACTTAACAAATTCTTAAAATTAAAGACAATCGTCTTTATTTAATATATCTGTCGTCTGTCTTATCATATGTATTAAGTATTTCATAGTTGATACTAAGAAATGGACAAAAAATATTAAACACTTGCCATATGTTTGATGTTTTATTTAATCTTATAATAACACTGAAATAAACTGCATATGAAAATTAACAAAATGTTTTGTTGAAAATAATTTTTATGTACAAAAATATAAAATAAAATCCAAATTAATATCAGAAAATTATAAACAAACATATTCTTTGATTATTTTTATTCTGATATAAAAAAAATGTGTTAATTTTAATCATTCATTTGCGACCTCATTGTTATTTAACAACCCATGAAGAAGTTTCTTTGCTGTCATTTATTTGTACTTTCATTGTCTTCAACTTATCACGAACTACGTCACAAGCATTCAAAAGAGTTTTATCTTTATCGCTCAAAGCCTTCCTTCTTACTGTATGTCTGAATTCTACCAATGTATCTATTAAGGTACTAGATACATCGCTTTTCTCATCTGTTAATTTCAAACCGAATCTTTTCAAAATTAGGACAATGTACTCGGCTATAAGAATAACCGGCACTGGAGTGTAATCTCCAGTATCCGATTTAATAATCTTATTCACTAAAGATATTAGATTAATTAATGAATTAATGCATGATGCTGTATCAAAATCATTTCTTAGAGCTTCCATATTATTCTCTTCAACTTTCTGTAATTCTTCTAATAGCTTATCATTGTAATCCCCAGATCTAACGGAATTATTATTTGCATAACCTTCTACGTCTTTCAAAAAGAATTTAAATTTATTTAAAATTTCAGATGCGGTTTCCATTATGCCATCACTATATTCCATTGGATATCTGTAATTAGACATAAGACATGCCATTCTAAATGCATCCGCACTGTACTTATCTACTATATCTGGTATTAAAATTGTGTTCTTAAGTGATTTGGACATTTTTGTTTCCTTTAAATTAAGATGGCCGACATGTAGCCAATAGTTTGCCCATTGTCTTGTGTTGTGGAAGGCACAAGATTGAGCTTCTTCGTTCTCATGATGTGGGAATCTCAAGTCAATTCCACCTGCATGGAAATCTAATTGGGTCCCAAATACTTTACTGACCATGGCCGAGCATTCAATGTGCCAGCCTGGTCTGCCGTCACCAAATTTCATAGGCCATGATGGTTCACCGGTCTTATAGCCTTTCCAGAGAGCAAAATCCATTTTATTCCTCTTGGCTTCATTACTTGGTTCTCCTATATCTTGAACCTTTTGTAACTTTCCATAAGCTGGAAATTTAGAGGTATCAAAATAGATTGAACCATCCTCGCCTGCGTATGCCATGCCGGATTCTATTAGGCTATGAACGAATTGTCCTATAGTATCTATATGTTCAGACACCCTCGTTATGATCATTGGCTTTTCAACATTCAAACTCAACATATCAAACCAAAATTCATGTTCATATTTCTTAGCTGCAGTCCGAAAATCCGTTTTAGTCTCCTGACTTTTTTTAATTATTTTATCATCGATATCAGTAATTCCCATAGCCGTAACCAGTTTGATATTGAAAAATGATTTTAATATTCTCTGAATAATGTCTAACTTTACGTAACAGGATGCATGTCCAATATGCGCTGAATCATATACAGTGGGTCCACAGGAGTACCATGTAGCGATCGTCGGATCATTTAATATTATAGGAACTCTTTGTTCAGCAACACAATTGTATACATACGCTCCTATAGGATTTCCATTCGGCATTAACCATTTTGTATCTTTAAATGGTTTCAAACTACACACATGAGTAAGGTGTCTTTGAGATAATGTGATCAGTTTTCTCATATTTTTAAATCTTATAAGAATTGAATTTAAAATAACATCGATAATGTAAGTCTTTTTATCAACTAAAACTGACAAATATCAGCTGAGCTGATAAGGGAACAATTGACGGATGAATGAGTTCCGTTATACACATGATTATTATTGTGATTTAAAATCAACTTTAGAGTAAAGTATATAATTGATAAGACTAATTGTGATCTGTTACCCTAAATGAGGTGGGTTATTTCTGATACACATTTATATATATTTCAAAATATACTAGAAAGTGAGTTGGTACTAAATATATATATTTTTTATATATTGTCATTATAACACGGAGTGTAAGTGTCAAAAACTTAACTCTGTCAAACGTGATGGTCACAAACTGTCAAAATCTTATTCTTTAATTTCAATAAATACGAATTTATTTACAATATTGATATTCTAATAATAATATAGTAATTAATACAGAATGGTTGTGTTTGGTCCAGACGATGTCGGTTTGGCGGATACATCACCGTGTGCTGGTATTCGGGCGGATCTTAAGTTATGTTTACTAAATAGTAACTGCTGTAAAGAAGTAAGAAATTTGACTTAATTTTTCATCTTAAATTGTATTCTGTACTTTAAACTCCTATTTACTATATAATAGAGTAATAAAATTAAATTTGTATTTATCACAACATATATTTTTAACAATTGTGGTTATCTTGAAATTTTTGTTATAGTTGTCAAGTGTAATTTTATTTCAGCATAAGAAAACTCCTAGGGAATGTTTAAAAGATGGTTTGGTACCAACTGAATGTATACAATTAAGGCAAAGTTTCTTTGAATGTAAGAGATCTTTGGTAAGTATATAAAATGTGAATATAAAATAGTTTTATCTGTCCTGAATTTTGAATAAAATATATTCTCTGATTACAGCTTGATAACAGACGAAGGTTCAGAGGACATAAAGGATATTAATATTAGGTTTTTAATTTAGTTACATTGTTTTTGTTGTACGAGAAATATAGTATTTGTATTTAAACCTGACTTTTACTTATTTAAACCATTTCCCTGTTTATATTTATTAATTAAAGATACAGATATTTGGATTTATAGGGCATTGAAAAAAAAATATTGGCTTTTACAAGGCATTGCTTCAACAAAGAAATAATTTGCTTGATTATACATTAATTAAAATTAAAACTGTTATAACATCTATAAAAGTTGCAAAAGTGAGATTACTCTTTTTCCATAGTATTGCATATTTTGTTTTATATATGTACCAGTTATATAATTTTCTAATCATACCATTAGAGTGTGAATTTTGGTTCTCCAGCAGTAATTGTGTACTTAATTTTTTTTTATTGTCAATTCAATTTTCTTAGCAGAAGAGATGTTAAAAATATTTTAAATCGACATTTCAAACTAGTGACACATCACTTTTGTTTAGATCAGAGTCATTAACAAAAGTAGAAAGTTTAAACAGAAAGAGAATGAAACAAATTGAAAGTAAAAATGATTTGTTTGTTCTTAGTCAGAGGGGAAGCCGAATAGTTTGAGATTTTAAAGGTAATAGTCATCTCTATTTGTCGAAAAATAATTAGTCTTATGAGTACAATTTAAATGGTATATATAAAAACGATAAAATGCAGATTTCAGTATTCTTGTCAACCATGCCAAAGCCTTATTACTTTGTATGAACAGTTTTATTTTATTGCTTCTCATAGAGACGTGCTTAGCAGTACTGGTTGCCGGTAAAACTATCGAAAAACTGATGGAATTTGAAATTAAGGGCTTTTGCAAACATTTGAATAGTGTACTGAACCCAGATAATACTATAGTAAAATTTAACTTGAAATCAAATAAAGGGTTTTGCAATCGAAACGTAAATAAAGAATTTAATATGCCGTTACTGATTTTATTTGCATTAGTTCTTTCAGATGGCAACATTGACAGTATAATATGCCGGTTAAAATACACAGAATTCTTAATTCACCGGCCTAAATCAGGGTGGATAGCGTAATTAATACAATGACTAATTCAGTAACTCGTGTCAATATATTTTTAATCGTTTCTTTTAATTTTATACTACATGAAATTCAAAATGTGTTTGTAAGAAAAATTACAAAGGGTTTGTCTATATCGCATTTACTTATAAATTAAAAATATAATAAACTTTATTTACTTTATTTGGCGTTAATATAATTTTTCACCATCACTCTTTCTGCTAAGTCTTAAATTAAATCTGCGCAAAATGTCATTTCCCTTTTTTGAAGAATTTTTTATTTTTTTGTATTTGTCGCATATTTGTTTATCTTTGAAATAAAATCATTGCAGGGGAAATAAAAAACAATATTAATTTTCATTGTTTAATATAAAAATAGTTCAAATTTACATTCCTATGTAAGAGCTCTGCCCATAATGAAACTAGCTTTTGAAGCTAAATATTAAAAACTATTTTGCACTTAAAATCTAAATTGGTACAATTGACCCTCGCTTTGGGAACAACATTATTGCCAACTCATTTATTATCCATTTATTGTAGAAACAAATTAATATCTACAATGTGGGAATATTAATGAAATGTTATTTTCTCCTTATTCCCATATATATTATCTCACATTTTGGATTTATGAGGTAAATTTAATACATTGTAGAATATTTGAAACAGCGCCTTAGCAAAGGTAAGCAGAGAGTATAGTCAAATTTATATTTTTTTATGAAATTGAAAAGCCAAGTATTATACAACATATAACAAGTAATCCATTGAAAATCAGGCGATATTCATGTTAAAATATAAATTTTAAATTCAAATAAAACTATATAACTAAATGGCAGTGCATGTTACTAAAGAAAAAGTTTTGTTTGAGTAATATTTTGATAAAAACGTGAATTAACAGCCACTTATGTTATAAGGAATAAAATGAAGTGGGTTTCGATCAAATTTACAATGTTTCCCAATTTTCAATTTAAATGCTACGTTATTCATTATAAATAATGTTTTCAACAAGGTGCATAACTAGCCTTATTTATATAAATTTTAATTAAAATATGTGGATGTTTTCGTTTGTATTTTTTTAAATACATTTTTGGCTGCTTTTTTATTGATTTATAAATGAACAGAACACAGCTGAAGTGAATAAACATGGGTTAACTTTATATGACGTTAAATGTCAAAAAATAAATTGACATAAAAAAACATTAAATTGAAACTGCCTCTTAATCTATTTATCATAAGAAGAATTTGAAAGTGACCTATACAACTTTATTAATTCTAACGTGTTCATTACTAAAGTACTTAAAAAGTATTTCATAGAAACATCGATAATCTAGTATGTTATCGAGGTAGGCTAGAGAATTAGGCACAGACATTTTTCAACCTGCCAACATTCCAGCTACGACACTTCATAGAATTAATTGAACACATTAAAAATCCAACCGTAGATTTCATTCGGCTACCTACATCAAAAATACTTTTCTTTTGTACTCGTCCTCAACTTAGGAAAGTTACTATAAATATCTATCAAGCGTTTAATTTTTTTTTAATATTAGGCACCCGCGCGAAATATTCACAGCGCAAGTTTTAATTCGTAGTGCACTAAATTTAATTTGAGTGAAGAAATGTATTATATTAATAGTAATTATAAATAGGGTTTTAATTAACTCTCGCTAAAAATTTATCAACTCTAATCACTATAAAGCTTATTTGATAAATAATATTTGGGCCGCTTCCACTGTCAACTTTGACAATACTTCAGCCGCCATTAGAAAAAAGGATTCATAGATTTAAAAAAATAATTATAAATCAATTGTTTTCTATACGTCCCTTTTTCTTATGACGCTTATAAACAATAATATTTATTGTTCTTTAGTTTAAAAATCATAAATTATTTTTAATATCTCGTTGTTTCGCCGTTATTGGACCAATATTGTCTTTTCTTAAAGAATTACCTTTCCTTAATTCAGTTACTCCTGTCGCCATTTTGAAATTATATAGAATTTTAAATTTTATACAGAGTATGTACGAAATTAAACGATCGATTATTGAAAACTTGATTTGAAGAAGGACTGGGTTTCACCAATTGTTTGATTTAATTATTTTGTGTTGTGATATGTATCTAGAGATATGTAGGGTTGAGTGAATTTAAAATAGTTGAACGTACAAATAAACCAACCTTATTTATTGTAAAGTTAAAATTACAATATCGATGGAAGACTGATTAATTCAAAGTGAATTCGGTAATATCTGTTACAAGATGGCAACTCGCAAGGGATTTTTCTTTGTTAAAAAAGTCCTATCATCCGATATATGATCGATATAAATTTTCTTTCATTTACTATTACACCATACAGTCAAAAACCATCTCATGCATAACACAATTTTAATTAAAATCCACATTCACCAAAAGAAATCAATCGTCCATTACTCTCAGTTAAAATTGGCAACAGATTAAAATATACACGTATTCATCGAACAACCTGTCAAAATATATCAATGACGGACTGGCCACAGATAAAAATGTTCACTAAAAAGTTTGTATAGGTCTGTATAGGCCCGTGTAGCCGCATAGGCGTGCTCGCAGTGCGGTTATCAACATGGCCGCCCCGGACAAGTCGTCCAACAAGTTGGCGCACTCGCAAACCAGTAGATACATCTTGTCACCGTGAGCGGCGACTGATTTGTGTAACGCTATCTTTCTCATGCCGACCGAGTGTGGTAGGTGCCGGTACAACATCCTCGCTCCAGTCCAATACAACCAGTTGCGTTCAAAACGTTCGCCATCATCACCTTCGAATACCTTGAAATAATTAATATAATAGTGAAATAGTTTTCTCAGCATTCTCTTCTTCCTTCTAAGCCCAGTAAATTAATAGTATCTAATGTAATTAAATAGTTAAACCTTTATATGATCACAATGAGATCAAAGACTAACGAGTATTCATTTAACATTTAAATGATACTAATATTTTTCGGATTACTACATTGGGAGTACGCAGTTTGTTTTACCTAAATAGTAAAATTCACATAGTAATTCATTTAATTAAACATACGTATGAATCTTAACTTGGTAATTTAGTATAGAACAAATGATGTCTTATTTATTCGTACTTATTTGTTTATTTAGTAATGTTACCTTGTAAACACTGATAATGAATCCCGTGGTCGCAGTATGTGACTTTTTCGGTCCACCGGCGAGATCGTTGAACGGCGGTCTACAGATCATTGCGACTTCACTATACAAGTCCAACGTATGAGCAGCCGAATACCTTATAGTTTTCGGATCGAACTTCGACAAGGACGCACTTCTCATATTATTATAAAACAGTAAAGGATCGGTTTGTGTCGTGTTGATCACGTAGTAGGATATGAAAGGAAATTCAGCATTCTTTTCCATATTTGCCAAGAGCATTCCGCCGACCGCGGTGTTTGCGTGAGCGACATCACTCAACAACTCTATGGCAGCAGTTCTTTGTCTGATTAGAGGTTTGGCAAGTGGAGATTCTAGAATAGGCTCTATAGGTTCTAAAGGGCTCATCAAATGGGCTAATATACACAGTTTTGGATCCGCGACTTCTAAAATGCTAAGAGAATTTTGGCCAGATTTTGTCGTAATCCCCTTTTCGGGCGTCGGTGGAGGCACGGGTAGCTGGAATAGAAATGATTTTTATAAGCACTTTGACCTAAAAATATACTTAAAATGTTACAAACCAAGGAATGTCGAATACATTTATTATTTTGTCTGATTAGGTTCTGAGTCAACAAAAAAACAATCGGGCTTAAAAACATTTTAAGCTTTGAATTTATTGAATTCAATGATTGAGTGTAACATTTCTTATAATATTCTTAATAAAAAATTTATTACTTTTAGATAAATTGCTACTTAGATTTTGAATTATGGATGCAATTTACTTTGATATTGCAAGTTCAATATCAATGCGCCATTCGTGCCGTACTAATTATACTATAATCCTAAGAATTGTTTTTATGACTGATTAAAAGTAATAATATTGAATCATTGTTATTTTGTAATGGCAACATTTAAATATCAACTTGTATTTGAAAACTATAAATACTGGCTTCAGTTATGTAGTAAGATTACTCAAAATAACGGTTAACATTGAAAACCAAATCTGAAACTGTATTTCGAATACTAGTTATAAATTATGTACCTATAAAAATTCAGTTGTAGATTGGAAATTAAACCTGACCATTAAAAATTAAGTTTGAAACTGTCTCTCGAGAACTAGATATAAAAGATGTGTATGAATTCTAAATCGTCTATTCAATTTACGATAATGTGTTAGCATATTAATGTGTTACTTTGTAGACTTTTGTAGAAGAGTGTATACTGTATATCTTACCGGTACACCATCAGGTAAGAACCGATCCAAGGCATGAGCTGGTATAACGAAGCAGTCTCTTTCGAGGGTTGCCAGCGAAACCGGTTCTGTCCTTCTGCGCTCCGAAGTGACTGGTTTTTCCCATCGCAGTAGAGACACCGAGGGTTCCCTGGTCACCAAAGGCTGTGGTGGTTCCGGATCCAAGCCGATACCACCTCCAATGACCGGACCACATCTTTCTGGAATTTATATACAGAAATATGTTTGAATTTAACTTCATATAGAAAGTTTTGAATGAAGAATTCATCGACACAAAAAAGATTCAAACCTGAATCCAAAAACTCGAGAATATAACGTTTAATTATATCATACTAGCTTTCCGCCCGCAGCTTCGCCCGCGTGGAGTTCGGTTATATCGCGTTTCCAAGAGAACGTTTCAAAAGTCTGGGATAAAAACTATCCTATGTTCTTTCTCAAGGTCAACTCTATCTCAGTACCAAATTTCATTAAAATCAGTTCAGTGGTTTAGGCGTGAAAGAGTAACAGACAGACAGACAGACAGACAGACAGACAGACAGACAGAGTTACTTTCGCATTTATAATATTAGTAGGGATTTAAGGCAAAGATTACTTTAATTTAAACATACCTACATATTGTAGCCTAGCAATGCTATATTCTTTACCAAAGATAACTAACCTAACAACTATTTCAGTCCTAATAACAGTATATATTATTTGTATAATTTATGTTACATGATTTCCAAACAATAAATTAAACCCTTCGTGATTATAGTCGCGTGTTCATGTGTAGAAAAATGGGGCGTAAACCTCATTTACTTTTACTTTCCATTCCTAATATCTTTTTTTGTGTAGTATTTTGTCGCTGTACATTAATTAGTTCTTTCGGAAAAATGTTATTTCGTTTAATATTTATATGTTATAGTTTTTAAGATTATTTTCTTGAATACGAAGGAAGTCTAGACGATAGATGTGTTACTAACACTAGCATATTCGTAACACTAAACTTGTTTTTCAAACGCCATCGCTATATTTAGATTAAATAAGTTTATTAAGAAACAAATTTTGACATTGTTCGACACTTGAAGTAATATTTCTTACTACAAACAATTTGACTAAAGTTTCATATCTCAAATTGTTTCGCGTCTAAGGCGTTGTTGATTTACATAATTGTTAAAGGTTAGCCAAAAATAATGCGAAAATATTTACATATAAAGCATACCCGTTAATGTGAAACATAGAAAATATTATTTACTTACAGTAAAAGTATGTACATAGATAGAGATTATCCCAAAACAAGTCGTCTGTCAACACTGAACACACTATTGGAACTATGATTCTTACTTCCCGAATTACCTGAGCCATCATTGTACTGGGTACTGGCCCTAGGTGCTGAGAAGAACAAGTGGGTTCTGTAGTGATGTTCCTCCATACATGAATAGCGGTCCCTGTCCCTCCGCTTAGCATTCCTTCCTGCTCCCAAAGCCCCCTTCGCCTTCCCCCCACCCCCTCCCCCCGAAACCGTCTTCTCACCGCTGAAGTTCTTCCGAAACATCAAATTCATCTTGGCTTCGTGCCACTAGCACTATCTCACTCGCACATTAACGTTTAAACACTAATTAGTTAAGACTAAAATATTTTAAACGTCCCGTCTCTGTTACGCTTTTGGCGCTATATTAATATTAATCTGGCACTGTCACGGTAAAAGCTATGCAAGATTATCAGTTGACTGATGTCTATTTATAAATGGTTACAATTTTACTGTTACTTATTGTAGATACTATCATTTTAATATGAATACACAAATTACAAGAGGAGGTATTATTCCAGAGAAAATCCTAATTGCTTGTAATTAAGACCATTTGTTTCCCTTAATATTGTGCAATTTATATTGAAATGTAAGACCTCTTTTTAAGGTCAAAATTCTAAAATTGCTCTTAAGAACGATAATGGGCAGGTCCTTCGAAATATTCGGGATCTCAAGTCGACAAGTACAGAACAATGAATATACGATATTCTGAAATAATACGATACTGTTTAAGTCGAATATTCTAAAAGTCTAAAAAGTTTTTTTTTGCTTAAAATAAATATTGCATCTAATATATGTAGTATACATTGTACAAAAAAGGTATGTACTCAATGAACTCTTGTCTTTAGAACTATGTTGTTATTTTGCTTGATATAACGTCTGAAAACTTCAAAGATTAAAGTCGCTCTGAGAAAGATTACTTTCCCAAATTTTTGCAAACTTTTTCCTTCCACACATATTATCCCTCAGAGTTTTACAAAGAATTTTTAAAACGTATATTACTACAAAAACTTAATTAATTCTAAAGTCTGTAACTAACGAAATTAGTTCTTGGAGAATTTGCTATATCTGAGTAAATTTTAAAGTATTTTTTGCCTTTAGTTTGTGACTTATAATTTGATTCAGAGAATCTTTTATAGTCAATATATATCCTTATACTACCAATTACCTATTAAAAAACATCATGGTAATAAACGGTATATATTTTTAATGAACTTTCGAAGATTTTTTTTTAACAATTTTAATACAAATACAATATTTTTTATAGTAAAAATACTGTCTCGTATTTCTTTGTAACGTAAATCAAAGAAATGCTCAAAGAGATTCAGAAACATCTACTTCAAGTTAGTTAAAAGGATACAAACTTTTATGTTTAAAAGTTCATGTTATAAATTTCGGAATGCATTTAATTCTTGTCTTTAGAACTTTAGAAGTTTCTGATTTAAGGTCTAGAAACTTCAGATTAAAGTTGTACTAACAAGTTGTCTTTTCCCAGCTCTATGCAAGGTATTATAGAGTAAAAAGATTTAGAAATATTTCGAGACAGAAAAAGAAAATTAAAGAGTCCTTATTTGTAGCCAGTTAAGTAGTTTGTAAATTATTTGTTTCTATAATAATTGGATTTAAATAATGACTTGATATTTAATCCGCTTTCACGTATTAACATTTTTAGACACTTCTCTCAAATAATAAGACTTACTGACAAAAACTTCCATCTCCTCTGCCCATGATTACGGTTGTTGTAAAACAGTCGAAGAAATGGGAATTAAAATAAAATAAAAGTTGGTAGTTTTGCAATTTTTCTATTTCTTCTCTTATACTTGATACTTCTTCTGAAATTTTAAAATTAAAGTCACTTACTTATTTGAAAAACTTCGTCATTTCAAATTTTCTTTTTACCTTAATTTACTCTATAGTTATCAAATAGTTTCTACTACCAATATTATTAAACAACAAGTTGTATGGGTTAATATAAGCATGGAAAACTACTACGAAGATTTGTCAAAAATGTTATGTAAGTACTAATAATCACCATCATCATTAACTTATTGGTGCCCACTGCTGAGTAAAGGTCTTAAATGTCGTGGTAGCACAGGCCATTAGTACAATACCATGCGGAAGTCAAATACATATAAGCTCTTGTTTCCAAATTTCTTTCTAATGTAATATATTTATCATGCTTATGTATTTTTAAAGTTAAAAATGCTTATGTATTTTTAAAGTTAAAAATGCTTATGTATTTTTAAAGTTAAAAATGCTTATGTATTTTTAAAGTTAAATTTTAAAGTTACAAATATCCATTATAACAATTTCTGTGACTGTTTTTCACAATTTTTAATGTGCCATTCAAGTTTTAACATCGTATGCTTTTTATAGAAGAATAAAAAGAGCAAAAGAAATTTCAATAAAAAGCAATTTGAATTGTTCAAGTCTTATTATGTGATATAATAATATTTTTTTTATAAAACATTTTTCTCAAATAGTTTTGCCATATATGTCTTTAGTGGATAAAATGTTATTTTCCCGTTTTTAACATAAAATATTAATATAAAATTAAAAATTCTAGATACATCCACAAATAAGGTTTCATTCAACCGTGTAATCGTGAAAATTTTTAAATTATTTTTTATTTGATTTACGTTAATCACTTTTAAAGTAGACATGATCGATTTTACACGTATTGACCCCTTTGTAACAATGTCAGTTGCTTGGTCGCATACATTATAAACGATTACGAAGGTCGGATTAACTTGAATTAGCAATTTAAAGGTTCCGTAGATCAGACATCAATAGTAGAACCACACAGGGTAACTTTGATGTCACTTATGGTAGCGTTTCAAGAAACACGAGTTTTTCGAAGCAGAACTTCGAAGAATTTTTAACGTAATAATTTATCTGAATCATATGTTTAGCTCGGAGTATAATAAAGATATTAAGATATTAAGCCGTGAGCTAAATTGAGAATGGCTAAATTCTCAGTTTTCTAAGTCAACGAAATCTAAAGATCAGGCTATTGATGAGCCATCTAATGCTAAAAAAAAAAAATTATAAATACAAACAGAATTTGAACAAATAAATCTTATCAATAACTTTTACATTAATAAATCAAGTTAGTACCAATATTTCTATGTTTTTGTTCATTTGTTAGTTCATTTCGCGGTACATTCATTATTTATAGTTCATGAAACTATACATTTGGTTAATAATGATTTATTAAATATTTCTAAATAGTCTACTGCATTTGGATTACGAGTAAACCCAAATAAGACACGGGTGCTGATTATTGGTAGTTCAAAATTAATTTCTCGTATATCTTTTTCGGATCTCCCGGTTGTACACTTTAACGGTGTTAACATACCGTTTAGTGCTATAGCTAGGAATTTGGGAATTACCTTTGACCAGCACCTGTCTTGGGAACCACAGGTAAGTGAGGTAAGTAAAAAAATTTTTGCAGCCTTTGGCTCCCTTCGAAGATTACGCAACTTTCTGCCCATCCCTACCAAAATTATGTTAGCACAGTCACTCCTACTACCAATTCTCGATTATGCTGACGCATGTTATCTTGATCTAAGAGAGGAGCAACTTAATAAACTTGAGCGTCTCCAAAATCTTTGCATCCGATTCATATTTGGTCTTCGTAAATATGATCACGTTTCTGAATTTCGTAAAAAGCTCAAGTGGCTCCCAATCCGGCTTCGCAGGAATACTCACATCCTTCAACTTCTGTACTGTATTCTGTTCAATCCGTCTTCTCCTTCATATCTAAAAGAACGTTTTCAATTTCTCAGTTCTTCACATAGCCATAATCTTCGTTCTGAAGAGAATTTGGTCTTAAAAATACCACCCCATTCAACATCTTTTTACACTCACTCTTTTACTGTCCATTCAATTCGTCTTTGGAACTCTCTTCCACTCGAAGCAAGACGTGCACCAAATATAAATTCTTTTAAAAAAATGATAAAAGAGCACTATCTTGCTTCATGAAGAAATATTGCAATTAATTATTTTATTTATTATGTAAGTATCTATAGTATGTAAATGTATATATCTATAATGTGTATGTATATTATATTATTATATAAGTATATATTTATGGAATATTTATTTATGTATCGTATATATACATATATATTGTATCTATTTTTTTTTTCTTTTTTTATTTATTAATTTGTACACCCCTACCATCCTATCTCTCTCCTCTACCAAAGGTTGCCTGGAAGAGATCGCTGTTTTAGCGATAAGGCCGCCTATTTGTACTTTTTCCTTTCTTTGTTTTTCTCTTGTTATTTCTGTCTATATTGGTGTACATTAAAGTGTAAATAAATAAATAAATAAATATAGTTTATTACCAGGGTCAATACTGTGCTTCGTGCAATGTTCAATCGGTTTTTAGAATTCTGAACCTTTATATCTTCTACCGCGCAATTTCCCAGCTATAGCCAGGGTCTGCCTTACATCTTGTAAATAGTTTTGGCTAATTATTTTTGCGACCGGCCTCCCGCCTGACATCAACCCTCTTTGGGAATGCATTAATTAGTGATGTCTAAATATTCTTAGAAAGTACATATGACTCGAAAAGTACATATGACTCGAAAAGAGAGGCGGGCCTTTTAACCACTAGGCCACCACTGACCTTTATATCATCGAAGCTTTACCTTTATCTTATTAAATTTTTATTTATTTCTCATACAATGGTTGTAAAATTGTTCAATTGTTGTTATATATTCGCATAGTTGTTTAGTTTGAGATATTAGGGCATATCAACGTGGGTGACGCTAAAATGAACTGTGAACTTACTTTATATATGTTTATTTTGGTGAGAAATATGCTTTTATACTATAATATAATGAATTATATGTTAAGATATTTCTTTGTTGTTATATTTAGTTGAATGTTGAACAATCTATTTTAATTTCCACTCATACTATTCTGAAATTAATGTATCTTTTATTTTGTTTGAATCATTGCATACTAAGCGACAATACTCACAGACTATAACGTTGTTTAATTTTTTAAAACACAGATAATAAAACAAAGTTAACGTCCAAAAACCATAAGGACTTATCTTTCAAAACTTTTAATTTCAATAAAAAGTAACTCAAATGAATATTCTTTTATCACTCTCGCTTGTGTTAATTTTTTCTTTCGTTCAGAATCTAATGATTTTTTTTTATGAATGTAAGCCACGTTTATTCAGATTTAGTTATCAGATTCAGGTGTCCCTAAATGGGACTTTGTTTAAATACTATGTGACT